TTTAAATTTCCTTTTCAATATCATTTTCCTTCTAATTTTTCTAAAATAACTCGGACATTGATATTTGACCATCCATATTCTTTTGAACTTTTACTTTACTTATTAAATCTTCTATTTGAGCCAAATCGACCCTCCTAACGGGTGCTATTCTAGATCGAAGGTACAATCTAATTTTTAATTTATATTAAAGATTTAAAAATATATACTTTTTTTTGTTTAATTTTATTTTGTAGGATTATGCGGCTCACATGTCATTAATACATGTTGTAATACACTAATCCTAATAAAAACTAGCAAATAATTACAAAAGAAAATCAATTATCAATAAAAAAATCATTGCAGTTAATATCTTATAGTTGTTAAAAAGTTTTACTCTTCTTGTTTAATATTGAAGGTAAGCCTTGTAAATTGTTTTGTTTTGACCTTTTGACTAAAGTCTTTGGGTTTTGAATCTAAACCATAACAAAGTGGATCTCTAAATAATGGATTTGGGATGCTTCACTCTCTTCGGGTCTATTTGATAACTGGAACCGAAAATTGTGTGTTTAACATATCTCGAATTTTAAAGAAGCCTGAGAACCTTTGTCTGACTGAACCTGCAAGTTTGGAAATCTAGAGATCTATAAATAAGCAAGTTAAATCTTTCATTCATCTTTTTATGAAAAAATGATATGAGGCCGATAATATTCCACAAAGGAGATTTTTAAGACACGGGTCATCCTCAGTAGGTCTAACAAATTGAACGGCTCAGATCAATTATATAAAGAAGATGTATTATATTTTCAATTCATCTAATTTATAAGAAAAGTTAGTTAAGGAGATTTGATTGTGCTCTCTCTCTCTCTTCATGAGATATCAAAATACATTGTGACTTGCAATTCTCCCCTAAGCATATAAAACATGAGCAATTCTCAGACCAATTCTCCATCACATGCATACATAATCGCTATTGCCACTCACTAACACATCCATGTTCCCCCTATCATAGTCATGGAGTAATTGTTGCATAAAAGAGGGGGCAGAATAGTTGAAATGGTGCTCTACATTCAAAATAATTAATTCGACAAAGAGAGACTTGTTTACATATGACTCTAAGATTGACAAGAGTAAATCAAAGTCCGTTCGGTCTGAGATCATGTCCAAACTTAAAATTTAAGAGTTGAAAGAGGCGGGTTATGTCAAATTCAGATCAACAGATAAATCAGTCTAAAAAACCAATTCTTTGTAAATTTGTCACTGAGCTGGCTTAGGTAGTGTGAAACCAAAAAGAAAACAAAAGTAAAAGAAACATGAATAACAAACTAAGTGAAGAAGAAGGAGATGAATAATAATAAAAAGAATAATAAAAGAAAAAAAAGAACACGAGGAAAACAAGGTTAATATATCTAATGAAGAAAATAAAGATGAGTGAAAATAAAGACAAATAGACTAAATAATAATAAAGCAAAAGAACAAGAAAGAAAATAAAATGAAAAGGATAGAAAAAAAGTGGAGGCCAAGCCCTTAGGCCCAACACCCTGAGTTGCAACCATATCAAATCTTTATTCGAGTTTGATGAGCTTGAAGGATTGATTGTAATCTAAGAACAGAGGGCCTGGGAATTTTATATCGAGGGATTTGGATGACTGGAAATTATTTGTTTTGATATCTGAAATTGACTGGAGCAAGGTCTTAGATCTAGGGTTTGAATAGCTTTAGTCTAGAGTTTGAAGGTTGCAGGTTTCTATGACTAAGAATTGAGCAATTATCTCATGCAACGGTTGTATCATAGTATAATGCAATGATACTTCTAGAAAACCATGTTTGTGGTATTTGTATGACCTCAAATTTTACACACACATTCTCTTTATCTCAATAATCAATCTCAAAAAAAAAAAAGAGGTTCAATTTGAACCTTAGATATGGTCAAAATGAGCACCTTCCAAAAACGAATCTAGACCATTCATTTTGTGAATTTCAAGATCTTAGCCTTTATAAACTCAAAATCATTTTTTTTTTCTTTTTTTAACATTGTTCATCTAACGATAATAAAGCTATCCAAAAAATTGGAAATGAAAACAATCCTTCTAAAGCCGAGATCTATGCATCCCACCTAAATGAACAGCCTGGGCAAAAAAAATACTTTCTAGGTTGTGTATTCAATTTTTCATTTACTGTGATTGTTCATTAGAATGAAAAGAGTGTATATTTCAAATTTTGGATCAAATAAATGGTCATAAGATGGTTTTTTAAGGTTGTTGCATGATACTATCATACAATGGTTGCATGAAATCATTGCCCAAAGAATTAGGGTTTTCGTCTATAGGACCCCCAAAATTGGCTAGAAAATTTTCCATTATTTATAGACAGGAATGTCCCAAAAATAGGAAGGCGGTGATTTTGGACTAATTAGGGGGTGACACGTGACTGCGGCGCCATATGCATCATAGAAATTGACTATTAAAAACTTCTAGCTTCCTAACTATGAAGATTTTGAAATATTGACCTTCCTATATTGGTACTTGAGAATATTTGGCTTTAATAAAATGGAATATTTAGGGCATCTAGAATATTTGAGGAATATTTAGGGAACATTTGGTTTCTTAGGTTTAAATATTTGGATCCATGGCATATTTAGGGAATATTCCAGGCTAGACTATGATCTGGAGTTGAGTATGGTTCAATGTGTTCTATGATGTACTGGACTAATGCTCCTGGGTTTTAACATTTAGTGATAAAAATAATTTGTAAGGGGTTTCTACAAGAGTACACAGGCTTGCCAACAACTATGCCTATGCTGGGGGATTTTGTCAACGCACTCTTGGTGGGAATTACTACCTTGAGAGTTCGATTCTTACAATACTGGTAAATTCCTTGATGGTTTACTCAGATCCTATGGCTTGTAGTTCGAATTGTGGTACTCTCTCATTATTAATTTTAGTTTTTAATATAATTTTCTCTCATTTATATTTTAATTTTGAAAATAATTTAAATGTATCATTCATTCAAGTCTTATCGCAACTATGTGGAGCCGGCAATATTATTTAAAGAAAAAAATTATATAACATTGTAACATTAAAATGTAGAATTAAGGTGCATTTCAAAAACCCACCATAAAAGGTTGTTTTGATGTTGAAAAATCCTCATCTCAATATCAAAATATATGAATAAGAAAAATAGATTTCGAGTCCCAAAAATAGGGTATCTTACAACAAATAATCAGGGCTGTCTAGTTTCAAGATTTTCATGTTTTTGTAGATCTATTTGGTGTGATCCGTTTTTGGAGTTTAAAATTTTATAATTAGGGATCAAAATAGATTCCCATGCCATCCTAAAAAACTTTTACATTGAAATTACATTTATGATAAAATTTGGAGGCATGCCTTAATTTGATTGTTTAATGTTGCAAGTTGTGCAAACGACACCCTTATTTAAATGTACAAAAAGTCAAAAAAATTTGTTTGGTGCATCCGATCCTACACATAACAGGCCTGGAGATCTACACTGTCCGCCACAATCAAGTCCCATAAATAATAGTCCTCCAAAAGAAAAAGTTAAATCAACTGTTCCAATATTTTCTCCAATAAATATCATTTCTAGTTTTTAAAATATATTTGTTTTAACAGATTAATAATCGGCATGTTAAATATCAATATATTTCCTAAAATTTATTATCAAATTCTATTTTTAAAATAAATTATTAAAGGGCCCGCATTTCTACATGTGAATCCGTGGAGTCGTAGAAACCGTGTCCAAAACCAAAATGGCTTGGACACCAAATGGCAGTAGCGTCTCTCATTCCCTCCCAAATAAAAGAAACTGAATATGATAATATTGCTTCCAAATCCAAGACAATAGTGGCATCAAAATTCTTTCCTTTTCTTGTTTTAAAGTATTAGTAAACCTTTTCAACAATGGCCAAAAATAACGGTGTTGCACGAATCATTTATAAACAGAAAAAGTTTATACAAAGTCGAGGCCCTAAACAATCAAATCAGAGCACACCTCACAAATTTCACTAGAAGAGGTAGTTTTGATGCTCAAATATCCTCAAATTGATCACCTCGACATCAAGATGCATGGACATGAGAAGAAAATGGATTCCGAGTCTTGAAAAATAGTGCATCTTGTAACTCATTTTTCGACTGTCAATATATTTTAAGGTTATCACAAAGATTTCCAATATTAAAACCACATTCTCTACATTATTTGAAGCTACACTTTACTTTGATTGTTTAGAGCCTTGGTTCTATCCGAACCGCATCATTTATAACCTTTAATATGTCCATCATTGTTTAGAAAAGGCCAAATATAATCATCATGGAAGACATCCTCAACTATAATACAACTAAAATAAGGGATTGTCTATATACAAACAATTTATCTTTATTACAAGGAGATCACAACTATACCCACTCCTTAGATGTCAAATTGGATGGCTTGAGGTAAGTCACGAAGTCCGACAATTTTTTTTTTTTTTGAAACTTTGTGTCTATTCAATGCCACTTTTAGAACCACTCATTTTAAAATTTGAAAAACAAGAACGATTGTGACCTCCTTGTATAAAAAATAAATGGTAGCCTTATAAACAATCTTCTAAAATAAATCAAGAAGCGCATGCTATCTTTGTTTTTTGTTTTTTGTTTTTTTGTTGTCTTCTACAAAATAGGTCCCCTGAAACGCCAAAACATGCTACCTATTATGTAGTATGATAGAAATTAATCCTCAAATGGGAAGATGTTCGTTCTTATTATAAAGTATTTACTTTGTTTGATCGTAGATAAAGAAAAGACATGCATATATTATCAACATTTATTTTTGGACTATGTGACACGCTTTAAATTGTCTAACTCCACTTCCATTGATAACCTCCATGTAGCAAAATGTACCAAAAAGGTCTTATAGTATACAATAACATAGAAAAAGTATATATTATAAAAGGAACTTAAGAAATATTAGATCTTCACCCTCAAAAAAACAAAAATAAAATAAAATAAAAGATTAAAAGCATTTCACCAGCATTCAGTATATCATAATGCCACAAAAGAATCATGGAATCCACAACCATATTAAAATTCCTAAAGCTAAAGGTTTTTGGAGTAATCTCTCTCTCTCTCTGAGAGCAGGTTCTATGCTTTAAGAAGAGGAGTCAGGGTCTCCCTCTTCCTTCCAGTCCGAACCAGGCTCATTCCATGACCGTGGCCGAACCCCAAACCTGAAAAACACTACCATCTCCAATGCCTCAAAGAACCTGGCCTCATCCAAAGCGCCATTCCACACACCACTCACTATACAATAGTTGTTATTGTAAGGCGTGCGGTGGTGCGCCGCGTGCTTGGAGCGCGACACCAACAGGCCTGCATCTTGTAAGACGATGACGATCGATGACAACCGGCTCTTTGGCGTGTGAGCCCAAGCATGAAACTGTTGGCTAAACATGATACATCCTGCACAAACACTCACAAATGCTTCGAGTCCCATGTCTAGAGGCAACAAATCAAGCGGCAAAAGAGTTATGGTGGTGGCACGAGCTAGTGCATGGAGGTTGTTTGCAAATTGCCTTCGGGTTATCGTCCACGGCCACTTGTGGTGGCCCTGAAAGGCATCAATTTGGGAGCCAAACACTGGGGTCGAGGCGTCTCCATAGTTATCGATGGCCCAGTGATAAATGCCGGTTGCGAGGTCAGCCACAAAGTAGCCAAGGGTGCCAGCCCCTGCGGGCTCTAGCCACGAGCTCGAGACTGCAGCCATGGCCATGGACTTGGCTAGGGTGAAGGCAATGGTGGTGCACCCACAAGCCACCCATGCTCGGTGGCTCCACGTCGACTTCAGACTTGGGTCATCGAGAGTTTGCCGAAGAACATTGGAGCTGAGCGGAGCAGCGGAGGTTGGCACTTGAGGAACATGTAGAGTGGCTACGCAGCGGCGGTGGGTGGTGGTAGTGGTGGCGGTGGCGGTGGCGGTGGCGGTGGCGGTGGCGGTGGCGGTGGCGGTGGCGGCAGCACGCTTACGAAGAGTGTGGGTGGGGCTTGGCTGGAATTGCTGGGTTAGGGCAGCCATTTTTAGAGAGAGAGGAAAAACCCAAGGTTTTAGAGAGAGAAAGAGAGGGATGAGGAATGGAAGGGCATATGGTGAGTGGTTGTAGGGTGCGGAGGGGAAGTTGTACTGTTTTGTGTGGTTTGAGTACCCTATACGTGGGGTCATGGGGATCGAGAGAAAAGGCAAAAGGATTCCAAGGTTTTAGACGGCCAATGGTGAATTGGTGGCAGTTTTAGTTGGAGACCCCACCTTGAGTTTTCGAGAGACTTGTAGAAAGGCACCTACAAGCCAAAAGATTTCGTGCTCCTGTGGGAGCACACAATTAAAGAGAGGTTACGGGTGTAGATCGGATCAGTAGTGGTGGGTGGATATTCTACCCGATCTGGATCAGTTGGATTGGTGATTTGGATCGTTCTTAAATCATCTGGATTGGCAAACTAAAAATAATTAAAATAAAATGAAAATTGTAATACAAGTTTATAGGGTTGAGATTTAGGGAAGATACGATAAGCTTGAAGGGAAAAAGACAAAAAAAAAAAAAGAAATAGAGGTTTTAAAGGGCAACCGTATCATTCTAAAACCAGTTCGATCCCACTAATTCTTCATCCAAATCGACGACCCTAATAAAAATTTGTGAGAGTTTTAAAACAACGGTGTAGAGGAATGAAAAGGCGGGTTGCATTAAACCTAAATCAATGCACCCTCGTATTAGAAATCAGAGTAGCCTGAGGGTATACGCAACGCCATTTAGACTTGATAAGGCGTGGACGGATTGAAGTGTTGTGTGTAGATGGCGGATGCCACGTCAATAAACTAGGTAATATAAAGTGCCAAACCTCCTAGATATTAGAATTATGAGCAATTTACATAGGGAAACTTTTTGTGTCATTTTATTACTATTTTTATTTTTATTTTTTTCGAGAATTTACGAGGAGCACACCTTGGCTTTTTTTTTTTTCTCTCTCCCCGAGTTTTCCTTCTGTCCATCAATAATAACACCAAACGAGCAAGACTGACACCCGACGGGTGATAAATCCCACGCACTTAAATTAAAGAAGGGAGCGTACTCATGGGGAGTATAGTATAAGTTTACTCTATCGGTAAAAAGTCCTACTTTGAAGGATTTTTTTGAATTTAAAAATTTGACAACTACTTAATAATCACTAGACTATGATGACTATTTTCAAAAGTTAATGTTTAAAATTTAATTTTTCTAATACTTAGAGCTCACCCTCTAAAAATTGGACAATCTCTATTCAATCTTGAGACAAATTTTTTTTTTTTCAAGTGTGCAAAAGGCACAATTTGAAAAGTTTTTTTTATTTAGGTTAAGCTATAGGTTGAAGATATCCCCAAATTTGGGTTCTTTAAATTAATCCTAGGTGTGGTTTTATATGGGAGTAAATGAACAATATACGCCCGAGGGAGTATAATGCACGGTGTTTAAAACAAAAGAACCCATGTGGCAAAAGACAAAACGGGCCAGGGTTAATTCGTTTTCTAATTACTGAAGGAAACTTCAATAAAAAATATTCTAATTGTGCCCTCAACATGCTTGAAAAAATAGTGTCTCAAAATTGAACAGATCGTCCAATTTTTAGAGAGTGATATCTAAATGTTAGAAAGCTCAAATTTAAAATTTAACTTTTAAAAATAATCATCTTATCTAGATATTTAGGTGGTTCCAAAAATTTTAAATTGAAAAATTCCTTCCAAATAAGTCATTTTATTAAAAGAGTAAACTTATATATACTTCTGCAAGAGTACGTTCTTTTTTTTATTTAACCCCAATATATTTAAAGAGTGCATAAGTTTATTATTTGTCCGATGATGTTATTACTGGAAAGAATGATAATTTAAGAAAAAAAAAAAAAAGTCGCAAAAGCAGTGCTCCTTGCAATCTTCGGTAAAAATAACATCAATTGATGATAAAAGGACACGTCTTAGAATTATACATTGTCTTTTGTGCCTTTTAGTCAAGTCCAGATCTGTGGTCAGGGAGCAACCTTTTATTTTAAGGAAATTATTGAAACCCCCCTTGCGCCCACTTGCTAAACATTCTCCCCCTAGAACTTTTTAAAAACACTAAAAAAACTCAATAGTATTTTGTTTTCACCATCCTCCTCAAAAAATCGATAAATTCATAGCTAAAATGCCCCTCTCCACTTTATTCCTACGTTTTTATAGTGTGCACATAATATTATCATACCAACTTCTGGTAATGTTTTGTGCTGGACTGGAATCTTTTTTCGATCCGACGTAAAAAAGAAAAGAAAAGAAAAAAAGTGACATAGACATGGGTCAAATTGGAGTATTTTGGTTAAAAAATATATATATTTTTTATTTTGAAAGTAATAGAAAATAAAAATAGTATTGGCGTTCATAGAGTAAACTCAAAATTATTGGCGGGGGCAAGGGGTTTTAGTAATTTTCCCTTTTCTTTGCCAATACCTGGCATGAAAACTAGATAAAACTCGCACTTAAATGGCTAACAAGCACAAGGGGAAAAATAAAAAAAAGGAAAGAGATGTAGATCCTCTACCAGTAATTGTGATGTTAAATCAAATCTCATGTACATTACAATCTTGCAGGCCCCTCCATGATAAAAAATGGGTTACCTTTGTCATTGTCTAAATAAACTATAATAGTTATCTTTTATTTTTTTTAATTCTAATGACCCATCATCCAAATCCAAGAAAGGCTACCCCTGCCTCTCTCTCTATCACTAACACCTTCCTCCTTTCTCTCTCTACCTCCCTTGAGACTCATCTCTCTCTTTCATTGCATGAATCTCACCAGAAGCTTCAACGTGGCATCCCAACTTCCATTTGGCTAATGGATTCATTAAATCCATTCGAAAAACGAGAAATGATAATATTGTAATTTAGATAATACAAAAATGAGGGGTTTACTCAACCTTTTCTTTTAACTTCGAGAGTAATGGTATATTTGGGTTTGTAATTAAAGAGAGAGGGTTTTATGTCTTTCTCCCATAAGTAAAAAAGGAAAAATATTATTTAAGGGATCATAACCCTTTACAAAATTATCACAGTGGAGTAAAAAAATCCAATTGCCATGGAGGATATATTGTTTTAATTTCATGTTACTCACTACCCCTTCAAAAGTTATTCTAAAAACAAGTATTTCATGTTCAGAATTGGAAGTCTTGAACAACAATGATTATTTTAGTAATTATACCCACCTAAGATATAATGAATGTTTAGTTTTCTTTTATTAAAGATATTAAAATTAGATTTAAGTTGTATGGTCTTTTATTTATTTATTTTAGGGTATTTATGTTTTTTTAAATGTAGAGAACTAAGGAGTAGAGCTGGCAATTTAATTTTATAAAGAGGAAGGATTAGGATTTACAGTTAATTAGAGTCTCTTAAAGAGCAAGTTAAGTTTTAGGATTTTTTTCTACTGTTATGTAACTATTGGAAGAGAGAGAGAGGGGAATAATTTAAATTTGATATTGTGAAAAGATCTTTTTTGGATAGACTCCTTTGATAATAAAAAAAAAGGGTAAAATCTATTAACCTTTTGAGGTAGATACCAATGCAAATGAAAAAAGATAATAAATGGTATATTCTCTCACTCTTTTATTTTTGTGATTTATTTATTTTTATTTCTCTCTTCCTTGAATCAATTAGCATTCAAAGGTTAAGAATATCCATCCATCACAATGGCACTAAAACCTAATATTATGATCTAGGATATGTTGTCATAAATTATAGAGGTTATGAATAAATAAACTAACAAAGGCATAGTTCAAGCCATAGAAAATATTCGGGTCATGATCCACAATCTCCAAGGAGAGATTGGTGAACAATTGCAACTATTGCCATAGAACAAAAAGACAACAAAAGCTTCAAAACCAAGTTAATTGCTATGGTCACTAAGCTGACACATGGATGACAAATAGAATGGTTAGTGGGTAGGCACATGCATCATTTAAGTTTCAAAGAACTATTAATTAAGAATCAATGGGTGATGAGAATTAAGTCCAAATGAGAACCCAATTCCTTACTGAAGTTCATGGTAAATGTATAGTGGAACTAAATTTTAATTCGAAAAAAATCTTTTATTTTTATGTATTGGATATGCGAATGAATTTAGTTGTTTGTGATCTTCTTAATAAAGCATGGTTTTCAGGTGTCCATTGGATCAATCATTATTATATTGACCAAAAATAGTGCATTTGTTGATGATAAGTGTTTCTGTTATGTTACGTGACAATTTTATATCACAAGTAAATAGTCTCATTGTATACAATCCCATATAATTAATAAGTTGCTTCTGTTGTATTGCATGTATAAATTAAATTCTCTCCTTCCTCAAATTATTGCCCATCAAGAAACACCCCGCCTTTTTATTGTATCGTGAAATCCCGAGCACTTTGATGGTTCTCAATAAAACGCTCATGTTATATTTTATGACTTTTTGGACTCACACCCTGTGTTTTCCATAGGCCTCATACCAATTATAATAACATTGGAATTTTCCCACTTTGCAAGAGACTTTCCACCGAAATTTTCAGATTTTTTCTATTGAGGCAATATTTTGGAGGAGCCAGGAACTGATACTGGTAGAGAGGTGACCTAGAAGCTCGCACTCCTTAAAAATGAGCGCAAGCTTCCCATGTAATACAGGAAGAGGGGTGGACTAGAAACTCGCCCTCCTCTTTTATTATTATTATTATTATTATTATTATATTTTTTAATTGTAAAAAAAAGAGGGGTGACGTAGAAGCTCATGCTCCTCAAAAATGACCGTAAGCTTCCCACATAACACGAACTGATACAGGAGAAGGGGTGACCTAGAAGCTCGCGCTCTTCAAAAATGAGTGCAAGCTTCCCACGGAACACCCCCCTCCCCCGGACCACACACATAAATAAAGAGGCGAAGTGAGGGAGCTCGTCCCTCTCACTCAACTATCTTTTTTTTTTTTCTCTTTTCTTTTTTTTGGATTAGAAAGCTTCAAACCTCCCTTCCACAATGCTGCAACTGCTCCAAACCCCGCAAGCTCCATCCCCGTTTCTCTCTAAGGTACACCCTCTCTCTCTTAGAACCCCTTCTCTTCCTCTCT